CATTTTTTATATATATAAGAAGAGAGTTTTTATATATATATATATATATATATATATATATATATATATATATATATATATATATATATATATATATATGTGTGGGTGTTCTTTACTTTTTTCAAAAATAATAACATGTTTACATCTTATTTATACTCCTGTAGATAAAAAAATAGAAAGATCACATTTAGGTTTATTTCAGACCGGTAAACAATATATATATTTTAATATTCAGTTCTTGTCCTCATTCCTATATTGATTAAAACAAAAACAACAACATTGATTTATGTGTTGTTTTAAATGGTTTTAAGTTTGCACAATGCTTCATTTCAGCCTTTAAAATAAGTTGGCATGAGGTTGGAAAAGTCAAAGTGAAATTGTATTTTTATTGAATGATATAAGAATACTGGGGTGTTGGTAGAACGAAGGAAGAAAACGAGGAGTTAATCGGTGTGACATTGAGCTGGTGCCAGTGACTGAAAGAACCATGGGGGAACCTATGTATTATAAAAGGGACTGATTACTATTACAAAGAACAAGTGGGACCAAATAACTAGATGTGCAGCAGGTGAAGGGGAGCAGGGACTATTATTCTGATGCAAAATAAAAATGTCAAAATAACAAAAAATACCTATTGTAGTATGGCTCAGTGGAAACAAGGCCTTTAAGATGTATCTTAATTTAAATTTATTTCAGGAAAGATATTAGTCTAACTTTTTAACACAACCTCAATTCAAAATCCCAAAATTATTCTTTTGGTATTACATAGGCAAGTTTTCCACCACGCGGCAACTAATAAGAGACTGTGTTTTTGTAAATTGCAATAAATTTCAAGATGTTAGTTTTTGACCACCAGCATTTGCATTTCATAACCAGACTGTGGACTCGCCTTCATCACTCTAAAAGCTTTGTCAACTGGCCTCGGTACACTCCAGTTTGCAAAATGGATTTCATGTGTGACTAGTCATCGCCACAAATGAGTGTTTACTACCCTGCCTTACCAGAACAGATGATGCATTAAACATCAAGCCAAGCCCCGAGTCAGGCAATATGACCACCATTTGTCAGGGTCTTTTACATGAAATGTGATAAAAGGCGAAAAGCATACTCTCTTTTGTCTGTTTTAGCCCTAAGTGCTTGTTTCTGACTCTGTGTTTCCTATTAATCATTTACCACCCATGCCTTTCTTGAATAATCTTTTCTTCTCTCTTTTTGTCTTTATACGCCTCCCCCCCCCCCTTCAAACTCCCTTCCCTACCCTTTTTCTCCTTCTACTCGCATGCTTAACTTACTGGTGAGGGAGGCTGTTCTGTTTTGACTGACAACGTCTACGGTCCTGTAATGTAATATTCATAGTGTGTCACATAGTAAAACATCAATTTGAGCGTGATGCAGATTTTATGTCTGACAAGGTTAGGCTGTATGCAGGTCGTGACAGCACTGGCCTTGGGCAATAAATACCCGGCCCAGTGCCTGAGGAGTTCTCGCTCTCTCAAGTGAAATATCCTGGTGTGCCGCATCGGTGACCCAATTAGTGCAGTGACACAGAAATATAGCATTCATTCCCTGAACACTGTAGTGAGCATGGAGGTTAAATGTTGTCCTCTTCTTTGGTGACTTTTAATATCCACACTGTCCCTTGGTTTTTAGTACCAGAATATGAAGGTGAAACAATCTGAATTCTTGGGGGACGATTTATGATTTTGCCAGTTCTAGTTGATTCAGGTTTCTTATTTACAACTAACCTTATTTTAGCTTTTAGCATGGCTAGCATTACAAAAGCCCCACTCATATTTAAAATATTTCTCTCAAAAATCATGTTTTTGATTTGAGAGCTAGATTCCTCATTTTCACTCGGCTTTCTTTCCCTTTCCCCACTCAAAACTGTCATAATTTCCGCTGCAATGCCTCTTGCACAAATCATTTCTCTTTTCTCTGAAGTAAACTCTATAAGCCAAACTGGCACATTCCCAAAAAACAAGTGATTGAACAGTCACATTATTGCTTCAAATAAGAGAAAATAAGATATGTGACTGGAAAAACAGACCTGAGAGTGTAGGTTTCGTGTCACCAGAGGAAGTTAAGGTACAAGGCACAGAAGTCAAACGGAAGCAAAATATGCAGAGGATATTGGTAAGGAAGGTAGAGTGTGGAGGACAAGTTTTTGTATAAGAACAGGAATTAAATATCCTGTTCTTATACAATAAATGTATCCTGCTAAAATTTGAATAAAAAAAAATTCTTCAAGCAATCAATGTGTGTATCCTTTAACTCTGATTCAGGCCTGGTTCCTGAGTGATGGCATGACTAAAAACTCAAACGAAGCAACCTGAACTCAGCAACTTTGCTTCAATTCCTTCACACTTTCTGGCATCTGATTGAGTTTACTCTTGGCTAATTCCACAAAATAAATAAAAAAATTAAAAAACTTCACAAGATAAATATGAAGTATCATCTAAATGGCTGATGGGCTGCACAATATACAGGAATATATGGTTATCACAATATTACAGTATGGAATATTTATATCACAAAGGGGTGTTTGGAATGCAATAATTGCTGGCTAATATGTTCAAGGTATTATGAACTTGCATTTTAAATTTTAATGTAATTTTTAGCCTGTTGGACAGAGTCTTGTGGCTGCAAATGTTAACAACAAAAAGAAAGAAGAGAATAAAATAAGCACATATTGCTTATTGTATTATGTAAACTTGTCACAATAAGCGATTAATTAATTAATTGCATGATAAAATAAATTCAGCTTGATAATTTCCATTCTGATTATTAATATTTTTGAAGGACTATATTCTGCATACAGAAATGTTACAACCCATTGTATTCATGGTTGTGGTTTTAAGTGTTTTCATTCCTTCATCATCATCGCAATATTTTTTGTCATTCAACCCTGATGGCACCTTGTCATATGAAAAAAAAAAAGTTGAGTACAAAATTAAAACGAGTAAAATAAAAAATACAGAAGGAGCAAAATGATGAGAATGCACGGATGTCTGCTAGATGTAGTACTTTAAATCCCTCCTTTCAAGCAACTTACTACATTTTTTTTCTGCGTCATGATTTCATTTTTAAACTCTGTGTGATGTTAAACAATGGCTATCTGCAAGCCCTTCCCAGTCAGTATCCACTTCCACTTTGAAATGCTGTGGTTAACAAGACCTGTTCAAGCAATTTTGGCGTGTTCAGATTAGGTAAAAAGTCATGTTTTCATAGGTTTAGCCAATCTAGATTAAAAAAAAAGACTATCTGAATTGTCTCACCAGCTGTTTCTCAGTGTAGCAACTAAACTAACACCGTTTTCCATTCCCCCATGTTGTGGTTTCAAAAATCTCTCCATTCTGTTGAGCAAGCCTGTGAATGATCACTGACAATTTTAGGCACATGGAAAAGTGACAACAGATGTTAATCCAACTTGTTTTCTCTTTGAGTCCATGATGTACATAAATAAGCAAAATGTCTCTGACATTCACCCCTTTACCCTGTGGAGAATTATCAGTTTGAACAATCTGCTGTCGTGGCACATGAAAGCGGAGTTTGAGGCGTCTCAACCACCAACTGTGCTTTGTACTCATTTTTATGAAATGATATAAGTGCTGCTGAGTAATGATTACCCAAAGTGTATTTTAACTGAATTTAAATATATATATATATATATATATATATATATATATATATATATATATATATATATATATATATATATATATATATATATATATTACCATTATTTGCAGTTCTTCACATTAGACAGACTTTGCATCAAATCCTAGAGTTGTGAGATAATTGATCAAACACATTTTAAGTAACTTCAACATCAGTTGTGTGTATTTATTAAGCACTGAGTGAAAATCAACAAGCTAACATACTCTTTTTGAATTAATAAAGTCACAATTTATATTATATATATATATATATATATATATATATATATATATATATATATATATATATATATATATATATATATATATATATATATATATTTTGGACTGCTAAATAAACTACATCTAGTCCTTTACTAGTCAAGCAGCACCACCACAGCCCTACCCACCCTCCATGCTACCCCCTGCGTCTCCTTTGCTTTCTTATCCTCCCTCAGTGGTTGGGGTTGAATCATTAATATCACCACTGGCTGACAGAGCCTTGTCATCTGTTCTGACCCTATGATGGCAGGTTTCCTATGGAGAATAACCTCCCTGTGTGTATCCCAAGGGCATCTTCACCTTTGATCATGGAAATGCCCAGAACAAAGTCCTTTTGCATGCAGAGGGACACAGGCTGGGATGGAGGCCTCCTGGATTTGAGTGTTAGCGTTATTATCAGAAGAAATAAAGCTTCTTGTTTCTTGTTAAGGGGTTAGAAGAAGGTCATTTTAACCTGTCATCAGAGTTGGACTGTAAAGGATTCCCTTTTCTAGATAAGGTTTTCTAGATAGGAAGTATTGTAATTTTCTTTATTACATCTATGTAATATTTCTTTTCTTCTTTAATTTGCATGTCGATGTTGAATGTTCCCAGTCTGATTCCTGCATCCCTCCTCATTATCCTCAGGTGTTGAAAAGTTGACACAGGCTTTGCCATCTCCCTTCATCGCCATTGCCATCATCAATTTGTCACAATCCCTCACACACACACAGGTCTTGTCTCGACCCATATTCCCCGTCCTTTCTCACCCTCCACTTTAGGTGGTGGATGTGTGTCCTTTTGGACTACCAGCTCAGCCCTGACATACTGGTTCCTCTAACCCTGCCTGCCAGTGAAAGGATCCGTTGTCATCTGTGTATTCTAGCCATTATCTTTTGACGTTTCTCTCCCTCCCAATGAAAGATGGAGTGTGTCTGAAAGCTTAGAGAGGTATCCATGATGCAGCAAGAATGACAGCTCTTGCACAGGTTGTATCTCCTTCTGTGCCATTGATCTAGTATGTTCTTATCAGCTTTGAAGGTTATTGCATTCATGGATAGATCACCACTTAATCTGCATCTCCATTAAGCCCGCTTCTTTTCAGGTTTTTCTTAATATTAGAATATAATATTAGAATTTATGTTGCGATTGTAGTGACTCCTACAGCATCGAAAATAATGTAGACCCCTTGAACTTTTACACATTTTTCACACAGTTTTGAAGGGCTTAACAGAACTTTGCATTAATAGTTGCAAGGCTTTTACTGTATGTCTTTTCTGGATTCATACATTGGTCATTCCTATACATTTGCATGGCTTGATCTAAACTATTTCATTGTGGACTTTTTTTAGTGCCTTTAATCTGCTGAAAGGTGAACCTCCCAATTTAAAGTCTCTGAGCATTTAACATATTTTCCTATTTTAAACTATGCTGATTTTCTAATGAATTCTGACTAGTTTTTCTTGTCTTGCTGAAAATATACTACTGCACCAGGGTTGCATGATATATTTTCATCATTACATTGGTGTGTGCGATATTCAGTTTTCAAAAGATTGTTTAGAATGCAAAAAGTATTGACTGATCTAGTCCAAATGTTGTCATCTTGTACTTTTTGTGCTGATTTAACCAGTGGGACAAAGTCCCATGGCAGCAGGAGTTCATACCAAAAACAAATAACATTGCTTACAATACTAAGGGTCACAGTGATGGAAGCACAGACGAGAAAGATAATAAAGAATAAAGCAGTAATACATTGCTACTGACATCATCGTCAGAATATGTATGTGTACTATCACCACTGCAAGATTTTCTAATATTGTTGAGCCCTGACCAAAATCCTCTCTTCCCTAGGTTTCTGCTGCATGCTCTCCATGACCTTTTTTTTTTTTTGAAAGTAGTCTAATAAAGCAGATTTTTTTTTTTTTTTTTTTTTTTTTTTTTTTTTTAATTGTCTTACAGGTACTTTGTACTTTACAAATTGCCCCAGCTGAAGTTTCTGGACTCCAGAAAAGTAACAAAAAAAGAACTGATGGAGGCACAGGCGAGAGGGGCGTTCATGAAAGTGGTGAAGCCAAAGTCGGAAGCAGTAAGTTATCCTGGTCTTCATTTCTTTTCACTTGTTTTAGTAGTAGCATTGAATTAATTGTGCTCACCTTTTTATTGTATTGCGGTATTCTTCCTTCCTTCCTGTTTTGGTGTGATTGTCAGTTTCCATTTGCTGAGATTTTGTTGTTTCGACTCTTTGGACATGATATTTATTATCTAAAGTTAAAGTTGTATTTTGTCTTTCCTAGACTTTCCTAAAATAATGGCCTAAGTCATTTTTTGACAAAAAAAAAAAAAAAAAAAAACCGCCATTATTTTCCCAAAAAATAATTTAGGCCAAAAAAGAAATAAAAACTGATATAAACCTTTGTTTTCGGAAGGTGCCTGTATGTGAGTTTTGCTTGTGCTCTTCTATAAATGTGCATGAAAGTGCATGTGGCCACAGTCTGACCTGATTCCGTATGCATGAACCCAGATCAAAGGCGACGGGCGGCTGTCCGGTCACACTTGTGTTGCCTAGTGTGACGTGTCTGCCGATTGAAGTGACAGCTCATGTACACTCTCTGCACAATCGCTTAATTATCTCAAACCCCATACATTTGTTGGTCGCTCTCTTGTTTTGAGAACCAAAGACTAATTAGACTTCAAGATGTTCATTTGTATTTCTACTCTACCCTTTGTAACAACCTATTTAAAGGCACATCTCCTACCCAGATTGGATTGAATGTAATTGTAAAGTCATTAAATATTTACAGTTTAGTCTTAGGGTCTCTGAGGCTCTCTCTCACACACACACAACGCCCACACACACACACACACACGCACACACACAGAGAGTTAGAGTACAGCCAAAAGCTTCTTGTGACAAATAAGAAGCATGTGAGTCGATGTTGGTTTTAAAAAAAACATGAGGAAAACAATATATTCATTGTTTTAGATAATAAGCTACGATAGTGTACTCTTTGAGTGTCACTCCGTGCTATGCTTTGTTTTTGATCCTCCATGCGAGTGGCAAGCGGGAAAGCAAAACATTGAAATAATTTAACCTCAGACTGCCGTGTTTGGTAGATGGAGAAAAGCAGAGTGAAAACACTGATCACTCACTTTATATGAAAAGAATAGAAAGGACCTCTACAATGCTGTTTGGCAGGGTAAAGTCACTTTTAAGATTGTATTTACATAGCTTGTCAGTAAAAAAGAAATGCTTGGCTTTGTCGCCGCAGCTGTAGATGAAAGGAGAGATAATCACAGATTCTAGCTGACATGATGTGTTTTTGTGTCTTGGTGCCTTTGAACCAGCTGTGTGTGATTATTTATTCCTTATGTAAAGTAAAAGTTTACAGCTTTCATATAAAAAAGCGTCTACTTAACATTGTGCTGTAATTTGTGCACTGGAGCATATTCCTGATCTTCTTTTTCCTCATTCCTCATTAGTATCGTAAAAGTCGGGCTACACAGAGTGGAAACTGTTTTTGGATTCATTCCAGTTTGGGATTCTGGGATTTCCCTATATTGTTTCCTCAGCTTTATGTTTCAGCTATACTAGAGTCGACGAGTCTCGCAAACGTCCCGGCTTCAGCTGTCTATATCATCGGAGTTCTTCATAAGATGACCGATGTTGCAGGCCACCAATTAGAGAAGCGTTTACAGCACGAACAGGGAAGATGATGGCATAATTAGATACTCATGTTTCCTTTTATGTCGGCTACGGCAAGACGCTGCTAACAGTACAGTCTCTGTCATTAGCTTTATTACAAAGAATGGTAATTAGCTGTCTCTTTGCTGCATGCATTCAAATTTAAGTCTCAATTAGGCCAAGTATCAAAGAAGAAAATATTAAGAACAATGAAGATTATTTATTAAAATACTTCACAATAGACAAAGCCTAAAGTTAGTTTTTTCTTTGGATTTTCTGTTATAGTTCTTTTTTTTTTTTTTTTTTTTTTTCGCCCTTTTTTATTGTTTTTTTTTGTCCAAAAACCACAAAAAAA